TCCCCGCTCCTGCCACATGCTGTGATCCTGGTCACCGAAGTGCACGTCCAGATCTGACGGGAGACACTTCCGAAAGGTTTGAAGGATTTCGGAGCAAAGGCTTTGATTGCCCCAAGTGCCTAAATGACTTATGTGCCTGAGTCCCATTGCCTTGCCACCACACCCGCTGGGAATTTGGGCTTTTAAATCACTTAGGTTGAATTGCGATCCAGCGCGGGCTGTCCTCCTTCGCCTGCGCGGGCTCCGGGGGTGCTCCCGGCACACGTGCCGTGCCGTGCCGTGCCAAGCCGCCGGGGCACTGATGCTCCCGACTGTTAAACGTGCTTTATCCTTGCCGTGGAGCTAAACTACCGATGAGAAAGAAGCAAACCCAGTATATCTATGAAATCAAATACCAGATGTATGAAATGGTGCTATCTATTTACCATTCCTTGTATTGCTAGCCATTTAACCTTATTCACTGGAAATTCAGTTAACAACCTTGAGGTAAACAACAAAGCTAGAAATGAGAAATAATTCTGTGTAATATAAACGAGCTATAACTGCTTTTGTACTTAGACTTGCTCTTACTATTATTTTTAATAAAGCATTTATAACCGAGGTTCCTTTTTTCCGCCCCCCCGTGGTCAAGAGGAACAGAAACAGCTCTGGGTGGAGTCCTGTCGGTCTCCGCTGCCGGAGCGAGATGTCTGTCCTCCGTCTGTGCGTCAGCGATGTGTCTGGCCATGAATTGAAGGGGCACCTGCGCAGACCCCAGGCTGCCTTCTGAGGACTCCAGACGCTGTGTTGCTGCTGTTGTTTTTGTTTCATTTTGGGGTTTGTTTTTTTTTTTTTTGGTTCTTTTTTTTTTTTTTTTTGTTTTTTTTTTTTTTTTTTTTGCTTTGCTTTTCTGATTTTATACCGACTGTGTGGACTAAGAAGCAATGAAATAAAAGTCAGAATAACTCAGTTGCTTCTGCTTTTTGGCATTTTTTGCGGGTTAGAGCTAGGCTGCACTCCACCAGCCTGCTTGCATGGCCATCCCATGGAAGGTCTCCGTGGTGCCATGTAGCAGATTTATGGGCTAATTCACGCCACTGAGAGAGGCTCTGAGCTCGCCAGGCTGTCTGCATGGTAGTCGTACCTGTGCCGGTGGCGTAACCCTGCACCAGAGTTAGTGCCAGGGTCAGCAACGGAGCTCATGGCCCCATGCCGTAGTGCTGGTGCACACTCATCTCTGCCTCTGTCCTAAGATGCTCCCGTGATGTGGCCACCAACTCCCCAAAGACAGCAGCCAGGCAGCGGCTGGCAGGACCACACTTACCCCTCCTGCTCTGAGCAGGGACCGTTCAGGTCGGCATCAGCTGCCCCGGGGGATCCGGCCGGCTCTGCCACCCGGCACAAACAGCAGAAGCCTTTCAGTCCTGTGCGCCAAAACACCCGGGGCCTGGGGGTGCAATTACGGCGGGGGGGGATTAGCACATTGTGCGCAGTATGTGCAGCCTTAATGGCTGGCACGGAAGCATTCACACTTCCGTTCGTTCATTCATTTTGCTATTAAATATCTGAGCTGATGCAGCAACTGGTGCTGGCAGAAACACAATGGCTCTTGCAACGCTGCGTGTTGAGGCCAGTTATTAACATCAGGCCAGCTCCTAAAGCCCTCAACCCAGCCACATCCCAAAGGAAAGGGGCAGGAGCTGCCTCGCACCTCCTCGGCCCATCGGCACCGAGCCTGGGCAATGCAGTGTGACCACCCAGGGGCTCCTGATTGTGGTTTTCCAGCTGGGAGTGTTTCCCCGTGTGCTGGTTTTGCTGCTCTCTGACTAACCCCGGGAGGGTACCTTGTGTGCTGAGGCAGCATTCACGGTCCCGCGAGCTGCAGTGCTGGACCACACAGTCATCCCGGGTCCTGCCGGGCTTGGCACTGCGTACCTGGCACAGAGGACACAAGTTTCCCTTCTGAGGAGCAGGTAGGAACAAAGGTGTTTTGTTTTTTTTTTTTTTCCCCATCCTATGGGAAAATTAAAGATGCTCTTTTTCACTTTGGCTCAATATCTCAGAAGGCACAGAAAAGCCGACTGCTTCGTTTTTCCCTTGCAGTGTGGTGTTCTTCATCCGTTCAAAGTGTAAAGTGAGTGGCATTAGTTCGTATCAACATCTCAGCGTTGCATAGATGCTGCATCTCGAGGATGCGTTTTTTGGAAGCATGCGAAGTAGGAGGAATTTTGACGTGGAAACAACACAAAGGTTTGAATCCCTTTTGGAAAGGGAAACTGCCACCGATTTGCACCAGAGTTCTGTGTCGCCCCCCACCAAACTGTCTACTTGAGTTGACTCCTTTGGGTTGGAAAACCCCAGATCCTGTAACCCTGGCTCTCAACCACGGTTGCAGACATGCCCCACACCTCGGTGCCCGGTGGCGACGGGAGCTGCTGGGCGAGACCTGGCAGCTGCGCCTGGTTCCACCACCGAGGTCCCTTTCACAGCATCGCCCTGGCCTCGAACGGGCCCTTTTGACCTTTTTTTCGCCTTAATTCAGCCAAGCCGGGCCTGTCCGGTGCCACACGGGAGGGAAGGGGGAAGCGGGGGATGG